AACTTGGTCCATGGGTTAAATCCAGCCTGTTGCTTGTTTTTATATAACCTGTAAATTAAGAATGTTTTTTACCCATTTAAGTGAGGGAAAAAATAAAAAGAATAATACATTGTGACATGTGAAAATTATGTGAAATTGACATTTTATTGCTCTTAAAGCTGACCTGGAACACAACTATACTCATTTGTTTATATATGTTCTGTGACTGCTCTTGCAGTATAACAGCAGAGTTGAATAGTTGCAAGAAACCATTAAAGCTTAAATTATCTTCTCACTAGCCCTTTACAGAAGAAGTTTGCTGACCCCTGGTGTGGAGGATTAAATAGTCCCAAATAAGAATTATATACTTGTCCAGTTGAGTACTGTTTTTACTTGCAAGTTTATGTGCAGTGTTTTTTTTTGGTGGCAGTATGTTATACCAGGCGTATCTAAATAAGTTTTTTTTCCTATCATACACCACAGTTCCATATTAAACCTATCTATGTTGCCCTGAAATTTTAAAAATGAGTAGCATATTTTGTTGAATCTCAGTACAACAGAAGTTTTGAACTCTAAACCATGAAAATAATATTAGTAAATTAAAGTTAAGCACTGCATGACAGAGGCCTGTATCCTACTTATTTCTGTATCCACCCCCACTCCCGGTCTCCCCTTTAACATGCTAGGTGCTAATCAGTTGTCCAGTTGTATTTAGAATCTATGATACCAAGGACCATTGTCTGCTTCCAGGTCTGGGTTGTTGGCCAAGTTTTGGGACTATGCCATTTTTGACTCCTCTTAGATACTGAACATTGTCCTGTACCACTGTCAGCCAGCATCTCTTCCATAGAACAGAGAAGTACAGTAAATACTTCATACAAACCATAAGGATTACATCGCAATGTTGATATGATTCAGTTAGCACAGAAATCACACTTTTAAAACAATAGTTTCTAGCATATTCCTGAAGTTGTGCAAACATCACCACTGATTCCAAACATTTTCATCACCGCAAAAAGAAAGCCCATACGCATCAGCAGTCACTTTCTCTTCCTTCCCACACCATTCCTGTTGTTTCATGCCATCCGGTAGACTCATAATGAACCGCTAAGACAGCATAGAATTGCCCCACAGGGTTCTTAGACTGTAATCTTTATGGGGATAGCTCCCTAGATTTTCTGCTGAGAGGACCTCTCTTATAGCTCCAATTACCCTTCCTTTAGCTGCTTAGTGCATAACCACTGCTCCCTGAGGAACTCATCCTGAGCCCCTCCTTCCCAGCAACCACTAAACTGCATTGTTTACTGTGCATTTGCCTATTCTAGTTATTTCATATGCGTACGCATTCAGCCTTTTTATGTGGCTTCTTAGCAGAATGTTTTCAAGGTTCATGCGTGTGTTTTGCATTTCTAGCACCTCATTCCTTTTTAGGCTACATAAGATTGCATTGTGTGGCTCTACCACATTTTGTTCAAATTTTTAAATCAGTTTCCACTTTTTAACTTTTGAATATGATTTTGAAACTTCACGTACAAGTTTCAGTGTATCCATTTATCTTCATTTCTGTTTGGTGGAATTTCTCTAGGAGTGGAATTGTTGGATAATATAACTATATAGTTTAAATTTTTTTGAGAAATTGCGAAACTGACTTTCTTATCTATGTGCTTGGGCTCAAATTCCACCTCTAGAATTAGGATGTTACATAAGATAGGTAACCTCTCGCAGCATCTATTTCCTTTATTATACAGAAAATTTCTCAGAAAAATGTTTACATGTTGTTCGACACAGTCTAGTTGGTTCAGGCTCATAGTAACCCTATATACAACAGAATGAAATACCACCCGGTCCCGCGTCATCATTGTTTCTAAGGGGCATTCTGGTTGTTCATCCAAGACAGATTTGTTTGTTTTTTTGGCTGTGCATGGTACTTTTCAGTATTCTTTGCCAACACCATAGTTAAAACGCATTCATTTTTCTTTGGTCTTGCTTATTCATTGCCCAACTTTCACAGGCATATGAGGCACTTGAAAATATGTGCCTGGGTCAGGCACATGCTACCCCTCAAAGTAACACACTTGTTTTTCAACCCTTTAAAGAGGCAAGGTTAATGAAGTTAATAAATTATTAATACTATAGAATTTCTTTTCAATATTACAGTTTATTAAACATCTACTTGACACATATACCAAGCATCACACCTGCTGACCTTATTTTTGCATCTTTCAAACAATATCTAATTACTAATTTAAAACCTTTTTATTTGTAGAGTTAGGAAACCCTCCCTATCCATTTAGATTAACTACTCATTCTCTCTTTCCTAGGAGGTCACAGATAACTAGTAGCCTACTTTTCTGTATATAGATTTGCCTTTTATTGACTATTCATAGAAATAGAATTTTGCAATATTTGTCTGGCTTTTTTCACTTAACATAATGCTTTCGAGGATGATTTATATTGTAGCATGTATCATAACTTTATTCTTTGTTATGACTGAACAGTATTCCATTGTTTGGATTTAAAAACAAAAACAACTCAATTCTGACTCATAGCAAGCCTATAGGGCAGACTATAGAACCGCTCTTTTGGGTTTCCCGGACTTTAAATCTTTTTTTTAAACAATTTTAATGGCACTTCTACATGTCATACAACTCAATAATTCAGTAATATCAAGAATAATTGAACAATTATTACCACAATCAATTCTAGAACATTTTGTTCTTGTTTGTACTCTTTGTTATTCATGTAATACTATTTTTTAATTGTGGCAAAAATACAACAAAAAAACCATTCTCCAATTCTGCAACTTCTCTCTATATACTTCAGTGTCATTGATTAGAGTCTTTAAATCTTCATAAGAGTAGACAGATTTGGGAATCCAGGACGGATGAGCCCTATAGGACCAGTGGTGTGAGTGATAAAACAGGGAGGGTAAAGGGAGAATGGGTAGGAAAGAGGGAACCGATTACATGGAACTGTGTGTGATCTCCTCCCTGGGGGACAGACAACCGAAAAGTGGACGAAGGGAGACATCGGACAGGGCAAGATATGACAAAATACCCATTTATAAACTATCAAGGGCTCATGCGGGAGGGGGGAGCGGGGAGGGAGGGGAAAAATAAGGACCTAATGTTGGGGTGAAAATGGAGAGAAAATGTTTTGAGAAACGATGTACAAATGCGCTTTACACAATTGATGTGTGTATGGATTGGGATAACAGTTGTATGAGCCCCTAATAAAATGTTTTAAAAAAAAAAAAGTAGACAGACTTATGGTGGAGCAGCTGGTGGATTTGGACTAGTCGACCTGTTTAGCAGCTCAGTGGATAACCTGCCACACCTCTTTTGGACAGAAATACACTGTTTACCCATTCATCAGTTGATGGACCTTTTTGCTGATTTTACTTTGGTGCTATTGTGGATAATGCTGTTAAGGACATTCATATTCAGGTTGTTTTTTTGAGAACATGCTTTTCTTTCTCGTGTGTATGTATACCTGGAAGCAAAATTGCTAACTTCTCGGGAAACTGTGTGTAACAAAGTGAGGCACTGCCAAACTAATTTCCAAAATAGCTGTACCATTTTGCATTCCTACCACCAGTGTATGAGGGTTCTAGTTTCTTCACATCCTGACAAACATGTACTGTTTCTGTTTTTGTGTATTTTTTATCATCATTATCCTTGTGGGTGTGAGGTATCTCATTGTAGTTTAATTTGCATTTACCATAATGACATTGAATATCTTTTCACGTACTTACTGTATGTTTCTTTGGGGAAATACCCCAATTCTGATATTTTAGCTTTTTATATAGACACCTAGGGTTACCTCTGTAATATTCTAAAAATCTCCCTTTTCCTCTTTATGGATCAGGGTTTATTCCCTCTGAAACTTACAGTACTGTCAACAGAAGAAATAACCGTTTCCTAGAGAAGAGGCAATTTATTTTTCCTGTGAGTCTTGTAAAACTCCCTTCCTGGCCATACTATTTGCCTTATATATTTTTTGCTATCCTAACAAAGACCTCCCATAATTTTATTGTACAAAATGATCTCACAGCAACAACATAAGAACACAGTTGTCCTGGTGAAGGGCAGGAAAAGGGTAATCCACCTTCGTGTGCCTTCAGGGCCTTTCCAGATTGAGGCAGTTAGAAAGCAGTCCCACCTCCCTGCTTGTTCGTTCTTCCTGTCCAGCCTATTAGCCTCATCTGCATAGTCCCATGCCATGCTCCTTTGGGCAGACATTACTTGAATTTGTCTTCATTTCTTGGATTTGTGAGAAGAGAGGAAAATTATCGATTACTTCTCATGTCTACTTCACAAACTTTAAGACTGTTATTATTGCTGTTTCCCTTTACTAGTGACTGTGTTGACCTTTCACACTGGTTTCTGCTGTCCCCTAAATGTGAGAGAGAGCGTCCGGTACTCACTTTGGATGGGGCGGTTATCCATATCTTTTTTTCTTCAGCAGGTTAGAGCAGCGCTGATTTGCTTGGAATGCTTGTGTAGAGAGAAACACCTAGAAATGATGTTAAAGTCACATTACAGAAGTCTCAAATGTCAAGCAATTAAATTTTATTGTATCTATAAACAGGGAAATTGAACTTGAAAGTGACTTTATTAAAAGTATGTGTATAATTTGCCATGCTTATTGAATATGTTCTAGACACAGAGATGAATAAACTATGACCTTTGCCTTGAAAGAACTAGCCCACTGGAGAAGTAGAATCAAAGAGATTCATTCCGCTTGTGTAGGTAATTGTGCCACGCAAGCATGTGTAAAGTTCTTAGGAACAGAAGAAGGTACTGCGCTTTATTAAATTTAATGATCAGACTATAGTCAACATTTCCTGTGTGCCTCAAATAGTATGAATTTTACAACGGAATGTATTAGGCGGTTTGATCTAAATTATTTCTGTTATAAATATACTAATATATTAAATAATAGTTTACATAACTATAATAGAACTACAATTTAAATTAAAATTCTTTCATGTAAATTAAAATACTAACTTTTTCTGACAGATATGCCAAGAATTCAATAGCACATGGGCGTGGGAGATGGAGAAGAAGGGCTATCGTGAAATGAGTATCGAATGTAAGCTGGCACTCTTAAAGGTAACACATGTATTATTTGTTAAAATTATTTTAATTTAAAATTTGACTTTTAACTCCATTGAATTGGAAAAGTGGGAGAAATAGACATTTTAAGTGAAACAGGTAAATCTTATAATTTTGGTGATAAAAAGTCTTGTTCTTTATTTTTGTTTCTCTATATATAAGTATAGCTGGACTTAAATATCTATGCATGTGAAGACAGTAGTAAAATGAGTAGACAGTTTCCACAAATTTTTATTTTTACCTTTCACAACCATTGCTAGTAAATGCTGTACAGTATAATCTGTGATATTACAAAATTAATAGATACAATTATTTTCCAAATGATAATGGCATACCTTGTATACTGAATAAAAAACCCCACATAACCGGCACTAACTTGGTTAAATTAGGGAATCTTACAGATTTACTTTGAAGTTTCAGTTTCCCATTCTCCTTCGGCCTGAGTTCTGTGTTCTGATATTGAACCCAGTTGTAGGGTGACATGTCCAGGACAGTGAAGAAAAAATATTAATGAAATTTTGATGAATTCTAAAGTTCACTATGTTTTATTAAGTAGATTTCATGTTCAAAGGACTTCAAGTTTTAATTTTTCTTAAAATGAAATGGGAATATATATCTTTAGAGTTAGAATATTACTGTATATTGATGTTTTCTTGCCCTGAATTGCTGTTGGAGCTACATGAGAATCTTTAAGGTTCATAAATCCCTTTCAAATAAATCTACAAGTCACAGTAAACTGTAGGTTTGTCAATCTTGTTTAACTCTCAGCAGGAATCATAAGTGGGAGTTAAGACAAAGCGTAGCTTGTATCACCAAAGGGCTGTATAACAATTCCCCCAAAAAAGCAGAATTATGCTGGGAAGAACAGAGCTTTCCTCATACACATTTTGCCTGGGCAAGTTGCTAGGCAAGCACCAAGCAACTCGTTCTAAGTTAGTGCACCCAGTGGCATTGCCTGGGAAGGTTCTCTCTGGTTACAGTGATTTTTTTTTTGTTTTGTAAAAGCAGTTTTGCTCAGACCTCCTTTTCTGTCATGGCTTATTTAAAAGAACAGCATGCAGCTGTGAAATTTTGTTTCCTGCCTGGGAAAATGCCTGTTGTGGTGTTGAACACAACTTATAAGGACAGTACTATGGGAAAAACTCAAGTATACAAGTGGTTTTCTCATTTCAAAAAAGGTGAAATGTCAATTGATAACAAACCTTTTTGGATGTCCCAAATGGAGGAAAATGTTGACTTGTAATGCATTTGGAGTTTGTTCCACCAGGTCAGACTGTTAACCAAGCTTTCTATTTAGAGGTTCTGAAAAGATTGCATAACAGTGTGGCAAGTGGGGGACTGGTTTTGCCACCATGACAATGCACCTGCTCATGTGGCCATGTCAGTGTGCGAGCTTTGGGGGGGAAAAAATAGCATGCCTCTCTTGCCCCAAGCACATTAATTACCTGACCTCACTCTGTGTAACTTTTTGTTTCCTTGAATGAAGAGGGACATGAAAGGACAACAATTTGATAACATAGAAGAGGTGAAGAAAAAAAACGAGGGAAGTGTCAGCCATCCAAACAGATGAATTTGAAAAGTGTTTCCAAGAATGTAATTGCAGATTTGACAAATGTATTAAGTGTTATGCAGAGTACTTTGAAGGTGATAAGGTTGTTTTGTAAAAAATGTTTAAATACATCGCTTGGAAAACAAATTGTGGTTTTGGGGGTGCCCCTTATAATTCAATAGAGTGTCAGAACGCAGTCATAGAACCCCTAGTCACATATATTTTATAAAACATTAATGTTGTAAATGATTTTATGTTTTTCTAGTGAGTACATACATAACTGTGTGTATCCACATATATTGCACATTTTTATATAGCATTTAAGGCTGTGTTATTTCTTTTGCTGTTAAGGCTACTTGATCACACTGTTAGAGACTACTGGGCTCACTAACAAGGTCATGGAGATACAGGCACTTAATGTACTGCCTGTCTACGCAGAGTCGTTGGGAAAAGATCTGACTTTAGGCTCTAATCACACCTAAAAATGTATAACAACAGTGTAGGTCTTCCATAGAGATAAATGAATCTTTTTATTAAGAGACTTCTCCAGAGGCAACCGTAAGACTGTCTTCACTGAAAACGGCAAATGTTTTTGGCAGTGAAAATACAGAAAGCCATTTTGAGAATACTGGTCCTTTTTCGCCTTTAGGTAAAAGATAGTCATTAAAATTTTTTTATCGTGAAACAATTTGGGAAATTTGAGTGCAACAGGGTTAGAGTTTTTGAATGATAGATAACTGATGATTAACATGTACATTTCTGTAATGTTAAACTGCTAACTTAAAAATGATCCTTTAAGAGCGATCCTTTTCAAGGGGTGCACGTGAAAGTAGGAAGAGAACAGTGAAAGACGGCCACACTGCACGTGTCTTTTCACTCCTCTCTCTGTACCAGTGTTGTAGGAAGCCATTACATACTTGAGAGGGTTAGATTCCTTTTTTGCACTGAGATGCAAAAAATCTAAATGACGTAAAAAAGTTCTTAGATTAGAATCCCAAAAGGGCATTTATATCTATGTTAATAGCCTTGATACACCTAAGAGGACTTTTATAGGATAGTTAAAAATATCACTACTGTTGAGTCGATTCTGACTTACAGGGACACTATAGGGTCACGTAGAGCTCCCTAGGGTTTCCAAAGATAAAAATCTTTACTGGAGCAGAAAGCCTCATCTTTCTCCTGCAGAGCAGCTGGTGGGTTAGAACTCCCCTGCTCTTGAATTAATAGCCTACTGGGACACGAGGTTCCTTTTCGACATGGATAAGTCATTAGGGAGTATTTTAAATCATTTTCTGTCAATTTTTCAGTATCTCTGTGAGTGCCAGTTTGATGACAATCTCAAATTCAAGAATATAATTAATGAGGAGGATGCAGATACAATGCGTCTTCAGCCAATTGGCCGAGACAAAGATGGCCTCATGTACTGGTACCAGCTGGATCAAGATCACAATGTCAGAATGTACATAGAAGAACAAGATGATCAAGATGGCTCTTCATGGAAATGCATTGTCAGGTATCTTTTTGAAAAATAACTTTATACTTTTAGCGTGTGTTTCTTAGGTAAATATTTTCTAGAATGTTGTTTGAGACTAGGTTGCTCTTTTTAAATAGGGCTTGGGAAATTTCAGGGCTTGGCACAGTGCTTAGTGGTCCTCTGTATTTGTCCATGTAGATCTTAAAAGAGCACAATTCTCAAGGCAGTCTTTAATACTTAAGCTTAACTATTGTTCAATCTGAAAAAGATTTCAGGAGATATGTTTGTTTTAAGGTTTAAAGATTATCTCAGGGTACTAGATTTAGGGGTGCATCTGGATTTCATGAAAATTGGAAATTCTGTTTTGAATTCCCCTTACTCACTTTGATCAGAATTTCACTATTAGAAGCTTTGATTGAAAATGAAGAGTAGTAATGGTAACCAGGTACCATGTAGTTTTCCCGGTCTCAAGGCAAAGGAAGCAATTAGCCACACATTCCATTTCTTCCACTTAGTCCTAAGCCCTTGTGGCACCGTTGGTATGTTGAGCTGCTATCCGCAAGGTCCTCAACGACTTTGAGGGAGAAAGATGAGCTTTCTGCCCCATAAACATTCACAGCTTTGAAAACCCAAAGGAACAGTTCTACTCTGTCCTGTGGCGTCTCCTTGAGTTAGAATCAACTTAATGGCACTGGGTAGTCTTGACTCTCCTTTCTTTGTTGCTTTAGGAGAGGAGAGACCGACTCTTCTGTCTTGGATGGCTGCTTATAAGGTTTTAAGGACCTGGGCAATAGGATATGAGCTAGGAGGCAGAATAGTCAGTTAAGTCCGTTAACTATGTCCTTTGAAACCATGACCCTAAACTTCCAGACAAAGACACCAAATATCATGAGATGTTTGCTTGTGCTTTTGGGGAGGTTGTTGTCATAGATATATCTGAAAGAAAAAGAGGCAGGAACAGAATGTGAATATCGACTAACAGGCTTTATTGAGAAACAACCTGTTGGGCTTTTTCAGACTAAAAGGAGTGCAAAGAAGCAGGGTGGAAGAAGATTGGAGTAACAAGGTGGAGGTGATCAGAGAAACGGAGTGGGGAGAAACAGTGGTTGAAGAGCTGAGCAAGAGTAAGCAGGAAAGCAAGAGCTTGGGCAAGAGTTGGAGACAAAGAAATCACACCATAATAGACCCTTGGGGCGGTGCTTAGTAGAGAGGCTTAGGAGAGCACCGTGTGTCTCCTGGATGGCAAGTTTGATTGTGGTGTGGTGGGATGACATAAACTGACGCGCCCTGGAGGTCTTTGGTGCACAGGGGAAGATGTAGGAGAATCATGGGAAGGAGAAACTCAAAATGGTCAGGTACCATTAATATGTACCACATAGCTGTTACCAATTTAACTTTTTATTCTTATACATCTTATTAATAGTTATGGGGCCCTAAACTTAATCAGTGCAATTTTTCCATCACCACGTACCCAAACTCAGTACTCCACAGGAATAATAAGTCTCCTTGCCCTCCTTCCTTTTCCTTATGACCCTCGTAACCACTAAGACATTTTAGGCTCTGCAGTTACCTTTTATTTTTGTATAAGTGAGGTTCTATTATATTTGTCATTTTCTATTTGACTTATTTTACTCACTGATATCTTCCCATTCCATCACTATCGTACTATGTATCAAGACTTCACTTCTCCTAATAACTGAGGAGTATTCCAATTCCATTGTATATATGTACCATATTTTGCTTCTTCATTCATATACTGTTGATTGATTCTCTACTTTAAAGTCTTTTGGGAATATATCTAGGAATGAAATTGTTGGGTCATATAATTGTCAAAGACTGCACCTTTCAATATGGATTGGAAATCAATATAAAGAAAACCAAAATCCTTACATTGGACCAATAGACAACATCATGATAAATGGAGAATGGGTTAACGTTACTAAGAATTTCATTTTATGTGGAACCACAACAGCTCGTGGAAGCAGCAGTGAAGACATTTGACACTGGGCAAATCTGCTGCATCAGACTGATGTACTGGCCACTGTCTGGGTGGAATGCGCCTTGCAAAAGATGGCCGTGCTACATCTGTCATCACTTTTGCCCTCCTTGTTCTCCTAGTCAATATTCAGTCCACTTCTCTATCCTTTCTTCTGAAACTCAGGGTTCCAGAGTAGCACCTGCATCTGTTTCATGAGGTCTCGGTGTCTTCAATGTAGATGGTCTGTGTAGCGTGTCTGCCTCTTTTGTCATCTTGTCATAATTCCGTAAATCAAAGATATGATATGATTAATGTTATTTGTCTTTAATTGTATGAAAACATGTTTTCATGAAAATTTTATTTACAAAGCAGGCTTTTGTATAAAAGTTGTTATGGATATTCTGAATTTTATATAGATATGTTAAGATGTAAAATAACCAAAGAAGTCCTACCTGTTTTTGAGACTAACTAGAATGTTACAGTAATCGAGAGCATATGATATTGATGAAAAGATTAGTAAATAGACCAATAGAACAGAAGAGTCTCAAAATAGATCTATGCATAGTTAATCAAGTGATTCTTGACAGTGCCTCCCTAGTAATTTAATGGAGCAAAGATAGTGCTTTCATCAAATAATACTTGAATAAATGGAAATATGGGGGGAACAAAAGCCTACCCCTACCTCATATCATATACCTGCTAATGTAAAGTAAATTCTGGCTCTTAATGACCCAGTGCATTTCAGAATAGAACTGTGCTCTATAGGGTTTTAATGACTGTCATCTTCTGGAAGAAGTTATCTACCGTATATACCTGAGTCTAAGCCAACCCAAATATCAGCCGAGGCACCTAATTTTACCACAAAAACTGCATTAAAAATGTGCCGACAAACTCAGCTTATACTCTAGTATCTACGGTAAGTCTTTCTTTTATGGCATTACTGAGTGGGTTCAGACTGCCAACCTTTTGGTAGCAATCAAGCACAAACCATCTTTTACCACTGAGGCACCGTACCTCATACCATACATGGACTTAAAGTAAAAATTGTAATTTTATACAACTTTTTATAACACACACAAGAGAACGCAATCTTGGAGTAAACAGAAACGCTACCCAGAAATAGCAGAATGTAGATTGGAGTTAATCAAAATTAAACATGTTTCATTAAAAGATGCTATTAATAAGAAAATAGAGATGCCATCTACTCGTACAAAATACTCCCCAAACATATCTGAGAGAAAACTCGTACCCAGAATCCATAATAAACCAGTACAATTCAATAATAAAAACGCAACCCAATTTTTAAAATAGGCAAAAAGTCAAATAGACAATTCATAAAGATAATACACAACAGTTTATTCACGTGGAAAAGTGTGCAACATTATTATTACAGGATTCCTAATTGAAATTGCAGTGAGGTGCTACTTCTATAAGAAAAACTAAAATGAGTAACTCACAAAGCAAATGTTAGTCAGGGTTGTGGAACTCTTAACATTTTCTCATCGGTGTGCTAATGTGGTTACAGTCAGTTTGGGAAAACAGGTGGACAGTTTACCTTTTAAAGAAACTACCACTTTATGACCAACGTGTATTATTAACAAACCCACACTGATAAATCTAAGTATTCATTTATCAGCGAATGAAAAAGCATACAGTATTTCTATACAATAACTGTTGCTTAGCAGTAAGTAGAAATGACCTATAATATATGCAATTTATGTAAATGCATGGATTTATCAGTTAAGATAAATTCATGGATTTATCTCAGAAGTTTGCTGCTGATTAGTGAAAATATATACTGTGTGATTTCATTTAGAGAAAGTTACAAATTTCCAAAACTAATCTCTGGTAATAGTGATCAAAATAGTAAATTTCTTCTTTCTTTTTTTTGAGCAGAGGGTGTGATTAGGAAAAGACATGAAGGAATTGTCTGTGTCAATACTAATAATCTTTAAGATGAAAGCAGTTTGGATCACACAGGTGTATCCATTTGTCCAAGCTGATGAACATTAGAGATCAGTTCACATAATGTAACTTTAACCTCAGTTAAAAATTTTAAATTGTTAATGGTTTCATAACCATTTTTTAAAAGCTAACTTTTAAACTGTTAGACCATTTTCAAGGATTCCTATTGGCATAGTGATTAAGTGCTTAGCTGCTGATCAAAAGGTTGGCAGTTCGAACCCTCCCATGTGCCCTTCAGGAGAAAGATGTACGCCATTCTTTTTTAAAGGATTTACAATTTTGGAAAGCCTGTGATGCAATTCTGTTCTGTCCTATAGGGTTACTGTGAGTCATAATTGACCCAAGAACAATGAATTTGGGTTTTGGTGTACTGTCAATTTTATATTTGCTGCTAATATGCAAGCATAATTAAGAATACTTCTGAACGCAGACTGTCTGAAATTGAATCTTATCTTTCATGTGTGCTGTGACTTCAGGCAGTTTACTTTAACTCTCTTATCTGCTCCTCAGTATCCCTTTATAGAGGTAATAATGTTGTTGTGTGCCATAGACTTGATTCCAACCCATAGCTACCCTAAGGATAGAGTAGAACTTTGACCTACCCCATAGAATCCTAGGTTATAAATATTTATTGCCACCATTGTTCCTTGGGAAGTGATAATTAAACCAAAACCAAAAACTCAAACCTAGAGCTGTGTATAGATAGCCTATAGGACAGAGTAGCACCTTCTCAAAGGCTTTCCCAGGGCGTTATCCTCATGAAAGCAGACAGACATCAAGTCACTGGTGGGTTCAAATTGTCACCCATGGGTTAGTAGCCGAGCACTCAGCCACCGGGGCTCATGTGAGGAATGAGTCCGTTCAAACCCATTGAGACCCTATATATAACAGGATGAAATCCTGTCTTATGATGTCCTCACAATTGTTCTTATATTTGAGCCTATTGATGTAGCCACTATGCCAATCCATCTTATCCAAGGTCTTCCTCTTTTTCCTGCCTCTCCCCACTACTTTATCAAGAATACTATCCTTCCCCAGGGACTGGTCTCTCTTAACAACATGTCCAACGGAGCTTTCTGGCTGTACTTCTTTCAAGACGGATAGGTTTGTTATTTTGGCAGTCCGTGGTACTTTCAGTATTCTTTGCCAGCACTTGAATTCAAATGCATCCATTCTTCAGTTCTTCCTTATTCATTATCCAACTTTGACATGCACATGGACGATTGAAAATACAAAGGGTCAGGCACGCCTTATTACTCGCTTTTCAACACTCTAAAGAGGTCGTGTGCAGCAGACTTAGTAATAGTAACAATAATACCTATGAAGTAAGGTTATTTGGGATTATGTGAACTAATTTATGTAAAACTCTTATTAGCATTGTGCCTGGTACATAGTAGGCGCTCAGTAATGTTACTTCTTTAACACTATTAATACTATTGATGGTGTATATAAATTTAGAATTTATATTGAAAAGATAGAAAACAATTGCTAAATTCTGTTGCCATATAGCAGATCTTTACTAAGGACTTGCTATATACTTGGGGATTCAAAAAGTTTGTAAAAAAGTTCCATTTTCTTTTAATTCCATTTTCCCATGAACATCAGAACCTCCCTTATGGATACACTGTTTTGTGTTATAAAATGCAGAGACATGGCCCCATGCCTTTAAGAAGCTCTTGTGGATTCAAATGAAAGATAATTCAAACCTGAGGTATGAATAGTAAAAAGCATTGTACTTGCAAATAGAGAATTCTTATTTCCTTATTGATGTCCCATCTTCTGAGACAGAAATGTGTTTCGGAGAAACTCAAGATCTGTTGACTTAGAAATCATTCCAAATGAAATGTTTCTAATACTCATGAATTCTTAAGATATTTTGTTATAAACCAGCTGCCTCTGTAATTCAAATTGTTTATCTATTTTAGTGTTTTTGTTTGGCACAGTCATTTCTAGGAGCCCTGGTGGTACATTGTGTTAAGCATTGGGCTGTGGACTGCAATATTGGCAGTTAAAATCCACCAGCAGCTGTCTGCTCTTGAAAACTCTAAGGAGCTTTCCTATATGGTTGCTGTGAGTTGGAATCTTCGCAATAGCAGTGGGTTATATTCATTTGTATTATAGCACAAATTAATATAGTAGGAAAATATTTAAAACCTGATGAAAAGCAGAAGTAACTTTCTGTCATCTGAGGAAGATACAGGGAGACAGTTCATAGTAATAAAGTATAAATGTGATAAGAGCTGTATGAGCCCCCAATAAAACAATGAAAAAAAATACAGTATAATGTGAGCTGTGATGGAGATCATCCTAGTGTGTGATGGAAAAGGTAGGCACTTACTTTTTTTCCCCTCCTTAAATGAATTGGTCTATCATTTTAATAGTCCCTAAAAGATTTAGCATCTACTGCTACTCACACTCTGAACAACTCCTAGACCTAGACAAGAGAAACCATTTGTTAGAATCTACTGGTTAGTGTGATACACCCTATTACACCAAAGTTTAAATGCATTTCAGGTACAGATAGTAGAATGTGAGAGTTTAGAATTAAGTCAGAACCACCCAAATAGTCCAAAATTGAGTTTTTAATTTTCCTGCACCAACCTGTATTCCCCATCTTATTCATTAACAACGACATCTCTTTTCTCTCTCCGGTCAAAACCCTTGGGGTATGTCCTTAATTCTTCATTTTCTTTACTCTATATTAAGCTCATAATCTAGTCAGTTCTATATGCAAAATTCCAAGCTCCTATTGTATATGTTCATACATTGTCTACATGTGTCCTGTATGTTCATTCCACTATAGAATAGTTGGTTGTTATTTTGAAACATCTCTATCAGTAGCAATATTACTGATTTCTGTAGAAAGTTAATTTCATAATATTCAAAAATTCAGTCCTTTATGGATAAAGACACTAGGCCTAGTGAGACTGTAAGACGCTTGAAAAAGTTCATGGAAAAAGTGAATTAGAAGCTTTCTTGTATATAACCTGATCTATCCAGGTTAATGCTTTTTCTAAAGTTCTCAGTGGCTAATTTTCAAAAGTAGATTACCAAGTATTTCTTCCTAGTCTTTGTTGGTCTGGAAACTGCTACAATCTGTCTCCACCGCAGGTAGCTTTTCTGGTATTTGGCATGCTGGTGGCATAGCTTCACAATTAGGGTATGCAGTAGGATTGTTAAAGAATCTGAACAATTAAGAAGCTGAGAGAATAACGTGACAAGATTGGAGTAAGGTTCCAATTAACAACCTGTGGAATACACAGATCAGTCAACCGTGGCTGGCCATAAATGAAGAGGATTTGACATTCTTGCTGATAAACATCAAAGACTACACAGCCTTTGCACCAATAAAAATTAAAAAAAATTGAAGTTGGCAAGGATTTCATTCTAATATCAATACTCATGGAAACAGCAGTCAAGAAATCAAATGATGTATTACATTTGGTAAATCTGTGGCAAAAGACCTCTTTAAAGTTTTAAAATATAAGGAAGTCAGTCACCTTTATGACCAAGATATGCCTGATTCAAGCCATAGGCTTTTTAGTGTCTCATATTCATGTGAAAGCTGGACAATGAAAAAAGACCAATATAATTGTGTTTGCATAGAATATTGATAATATACATTAAAAGAGGTGCACGGAGACTGCTTTTGACCTCAGATTTCGCTAGGGAAGGAGAATCGGCATTAGCTACCCAAAGCTGGTTCCTATGGGCCTGAGGTCAGCTATTCCCTCAACCTTCTCTGCCAGTTCTGACACCAGCTGTCTCTCCCACAGCATCCTACTTCTCAGCTGGTTTTGACAATTCATTGCATTTGCCACACACAAATCAAGACTATATTCACAATTGTGGGATTTATTAGGTAAGAGATTACAATTCAGGATCAGAAATATTCAGGACACAGATTTTGGTCAGGCCCTGCAATCCTCAACTGCTTGGCCTGACCTGGCCTCTGCCCTACTCTGGCAATGTTGTAAACCGCTTATCACTGCTGAGAATGAATGCTCAGTGGCATGCCACACCCCTATAATCTTCAACACCAAGGCACTCAGGCCAAAGGTGCTTGGCTCTAGCTGTCAGTTACATGCTTAGAGATGCTCCACTCACAGGTGAGCCTCCTGCCCAAAGACACTCAGCTTTACTCATGTGGGCTGTGACCCGTTTTTCCCCCAACCCCCTCATGGGTTCTGGCTCCTAGTTCTTGGTTCTGCAGCCGCTTCAGGTTTCTGCACCCGGATCCAGGCAGATTCTAGAGGACATACTCCACTCCTAGCTTTTTCTTCATGAGACACATCCTTCCTGCCTATGCAATGACTCCTTCTAAACCCGGCAGGGTGGCAAAGCTGACCAATCTCCTTTTTTAGATTGCCCAGTTTTAAACAATCATAATTAACCCTCATCATTCACAACTGAATCATACAATTCTATAAGCTTCATCCTTCACCTTTTTTTACCCAGGCTCATCAGGAAATAATTGGGGGGGAGTTTAAAGACTATGGCTAGAAACCTGTGCTAAGTAATTTACTGTAGCATCCACAAGGACTGCCAGAAGAATGAACAAACCTGTTAGAAGACCGCAACCCGAATGCTCCCCAAGCACTCAGCCTCAGTCTTGTTTTACTTTGGACAAGTCAGCAGGAAAGACCAGTTGCTAAAAAAGGACATCAGATTTAGTAAATAGAACCGGCTGGATCCAGGAAAACACTCAGTGAAATGGGTTGACAAAACAATAGCAATAACGGAATGAAATGCAGTGCATCACAGGTCATGGCGATGGTACAGAATTGAGCAACATTTCATTTTTTTGTACATAAGGGCATCATGATTGGAGCCAAGTTTACAGCAAACCAACAAAAGCAACAATTTAATTAGTTACTGTCCCTGTACTCAACCAATAAAGTATAGCTGAGATGGGGATGGAAAGAGAAAGGAAGCTAAGGGGCATCTAACATGACAAAGAAGAAAACAAGTCATTTTATTTTAACATTAATCACATTGACTTAGAGCTGTGTACACAGCACTTTAAGAACACACATCAGGGACCATTGGTAACAGAGTCAAACTTAAGTTTTCCAATTTAGTCTGGTGTTTGCCTTTTACCTTCACCATTACACTCTTGGATATTCTGAGCAGCAGAAATATCCAAGTGAGTTTTCTCACTCATAAGGAAAATTGATGTGGTCATCTGGCACCTCTGGTGGTAAAGAGAGTTTACAGAGTAATTCTTACTTGAAATCTTTTGCTATTGTTAGATCATTTGAATTTTATTCCTATAAGTATAAATTACTGCTGACAAAACAAAGTCAGCAACTCAAAAATAGCCAGTTTTTAATTGGTGCCATTAATAATGAATATCTTTTTGCCAAAATTAAGAAGGTTTTTATCATAATTTTATAGCAGTAGAAAAAACTAAAAGTGGAAAATAATTTATTTTCAAGTGAATTAGAATTTAAAATAACTTTGTGTAAGCGAAGTCTTTCTTAAAAGTTAGCTTTACATTGATTTCATGTTCTATAGAGATAGTATAATACTTTTAAAAGTTACCTATATTCCTTTTTCAACCTAAGACATCTATACTACCATTATAATCAATGGAAAAAATAAGAGTCCTGCTTGAAGAATTGTTTATTTTAATATATATTGTGTTTAACTTTTTTAAATTCAAGGTTATTTGGGGCTAGGTGGCTTTAGGATTCATAATGTATTTTTCTTTTAATTTTTTATTTCCAGTGTGTACTATTCAGAAAGGTCCTTAGAACAAGGATTTTTATGCTCTTCTTTTTCCCTTTGTTCAGAAATCGAAACGAGTTGGCAGAGACTCTTGCACTCCTGAAAGCACAAATTGATCCTGTGCTGCTGAAACCCCCTAACCAACAGGACAGCTCTTCCCGGGAAAGCCCCAGCCTGGAGGATGACGAGACCAGAAAAGAGGAAGAAGCACCTAAACAAGGTTTTTTTGTGTGTTTTGTTTCGCTTTATTTTGTAATCTTTTCTCCATTCTCTAACTTCTTTTCCCAACTACATAAATCTGAATTCTATTTCAGTTTGAAAAATTGTAAGTCTTGTTAAAGGAAGCTGGTAATATTTATTTTAAAAGGTTCAGACACTAAAAAACCTGAATAAAGCTTTGTTATTTTACTCAGAACATTAGAAAAATCCAAATAAAAAAAAGGCGTAAGCCATAGAATATAATAACTTTTGCTAATTTAAGTAAATTATTCATGTGAAATTACATAGTAAACTCAAATTACATAGTAAATTCAATTGACTAAACTTGGTTTTCCCCACGTGTTTGTTTAACTTAAGTAATTCAAATTTGTTTAACTTAACTTAAGCAATTTGTTTTGTTTAACTTAAGCAATTCAAGTCCTAACCATACTACCAGGAAATAGAACCAAGTTCTGACTATTCTAGAAGGAAATAAATAAACCAACTGAAAATTTGGCTTACATCTTTTTAGTTAATACTCAATTATGGCTGGCTTTATTATTTTCTTGTTAAGATAGTTTTTAATGATAGGGGAAAGAAACCGCTTGATCATTTTTTATACTTTTGTTTCTTGCAAAAATGTTCACACTATTTGTTTGATGGTTTGACGGACTATTCATGAATCATCCCACATCTGCAAGTGTTAGTTGAAAAAAGTAAATATGTCTTTTCATGTAGGCTATAATGTTCCTATTGGAGCCCTGGTGGTGTAGTGGGTTAAGTATTGGACTGTTCACCACAAGGTCAGCAGTTTGAAACCACCAGCCGCTTCATGGGAAAAAGTGAGGCATTCTACTCCTATAAATAGAGAGTTACAGTCTTGGAAACCCACATGGGCAGGACTGCCTTGCCCTATGTGGTTGCTGTGATTCAGAATGGACTCAATGGCAGTGAGTTGTTTATGGTGATTTTATTTGCAAACAAAATTTCTAATTTGAAACATTCTTTTCCATATGTTAAAATTAAATTTGTGGGCTTTTCACTAATTAAAATTTAATTTCAAATTAATTTGACTTTCCTGTTTTTAGTAATATTTTCCAAGGATAAGTTTTACATTTAGACTTACTATTATTTGTTCATTTCATCAGTATGAGCATTGATTCATGTACTTGGTTATTCCCACATATCCAGACAAGAGACTAGAAATTAGAAAGAAGTTCAGAATAGTAAATGTACAATGACTTCTAATAGGAGAGCTTCCATTTGAGACTGAAATTGAAGGGACATTCTGTTGTACAGTTTAAATAGGAGAGAAAATTAAACATTCAGTTCTTCATGAAAATAAAGCTCTTTCTGGTAGTTAATCATAAATTTCAATCTGCCAGGTATTTGCATGTGCATTTCTTTTATATCTTACCATCTCTTTCTCAAGTACCTGACATTATTGTTTCAATTTTACATATGATAAAACCAGGAAGTTTAGAGACTTGCCCCAAGTTTTAGAGATGATAAAGTCTCAGAGCCTAGATTTGAAACCTGTGACATGATTCTAATTCAAGTAACATTGGACAAACTTTAGCATGCGTACTTTTACCTGGGGATTTTTTAATCTGAGCGGAAGAGTGATTGAGCAGAGCCCTTGATTTGCCCTTTCTAAGAAAACCAGAGGGTAGTTGTGCTTCTGGTCAGGAGGCCACATTTAAAAATCAGCAAGATTGTAGAGGCAATCTTCTTTTAACCTTTGAAACTAACACAGCAAGAGTTTCACAAAGCTGTTTCAGAACACATGTCTGAAGGAACCCTTAAGCTTTAATACTCAAAAGAGTCTGTGGATGGAGGCCATCATTTTGAAAAAGGTAGGGAACAAGACTTTTCATCCTCTGTATTATTCTCCTTTCCATTTCATAGAGTGTTTGTCACCTTTCATTTCTTTTAACGGTAGCTTGTTTCCTATTCATTAAGCTTTGTGCCAAGTATGATTATAGACATGGATGTTCAGTAAACAAAACAGGCTAGAATCCTTTTTCTTGAGAAACTTATACCATAGTCAGATCATACAGCATTTATCTCAGGCTAAGTACTGTTCTAAGTGCTTTACATGTATTAATAACCCTATGGGGCAGGCGTTTTTATTCTTACTTTCTTTCAATTGAAGCATGAGAGACCGAGGAATTTAAGTTATTTCCCCAGTGCCCCACAACCAGTTCGTGGCAGATGTGCAATCAAGCCCAGGCTGTCTCTCCAGAGTCCATGTGCTTCTGAGATGCACAGTTGATGAAATGAGAACTTTATTCGGCTCCCATACCCCTGCGTCTTAGCCCTTTCTGGTTCTATGACAAAACCAAGGAAATGTGACTTTCGTCTTTCATTTTTATGACTCTCCATATAAAACAAAAACTGCCTTTGGGTGGGTGCTAGGGACCAGGAAAAAACTTGAAGCAGTTTTTTAAAATGTCTACCGTATTTAAAATGCTAATGCAAAATATGAATGAAAGTTTAAATTTAATTGTAGTTTCATATTTGTAAACCAGTCATCAGGAGGAAAAAGAAATGGGAACTTAAGAATAAAACTGCCACTCCTTGTTACAGCTGATATAGCTCATTAGTTAAATTGCCACACTTTATATCTAATAGCTAACCCCCCAGTAAGGTAATTAATTTTATTTCTTTTGTTAAAAGAAATACATTGCCCATAATGGTAAGCTCCTGCCCCCACCCAGAAGAAAAATGGGAGTGGTAGAAGCAAACGATCTAGAAAATTCACCGACTAAATAATGGTTAGCTTTTGTTTGTAAGATTAGTAGAATTATCTCCTGAAAAGTCTATAATTTTATGAGACTACCATTCAGGATTTCAGGGTCTCTTATTATTTCCTCATGTGATCACTGGTTCCATGTTATCTAAATGCATTTGTTTTCTCAATGTGTCTTGGGCATTACTGCTGTGGCTTTGTCATGGTGTTGTCTGCATGAAATGCTGTTAGGTCATTGTGGAAAATCTTTCCTTAGCTCCACTAATACTTTTGATTATATTTATTGCACTTATATTAGGGCCAGTCCTAGCTCCAGCCTTGAGGTTTTTTTGGCTCTTAATTATTTGTTGAATGTTATTCTTGAACTAAAATTTCAGTGGAAACCTTAGCTCTTATTTTAACTCTTCTTTTGTTATCAATGGTCTCCTATATCATTTCAGGTAGAATCTCTAAAAAAGAGCTGGCATCATGCTCCATGAAGATCTCAGTCTAGGAAACACCTATAGAACAGAGTAGAACTGTCCTATATACTCTGTTCTTTAATCACCAAAAAATATGTGTTAAAATTCACATAACCATAACATTTGCCATTTAAATCATTTGAAAGCATAAAATTTCATCTATTGACAGTATAGTACAGCTATCACCATAATCTAATTCCAGAATTAGAATCTAATTCCAGATTTCTATCACCACCAAAGGAAACCTCGTACCCATTAAGCTACTTGTAATCCTCCCTCCTAGCCTTTACAACCACTAATCCACTTTGCTGTGGTTAAGAATTTGCCTCTTCTGGACATTGCATATAATGGGGTCATACCTTTTTATGTGTATTGGTTTCTTTCATTTAGCATGGTGTTTTTAAGGTTTGTCCATGTTATAGCATTCAGTGCTTCATTCCTTTTTATAGCCACATATTTCATTATACAAAGATGTGGTCTCACTACTTTCACCCTTTCAGTAGTGTAGACCCACTGGGGATCTGTCCCCAATATATTAAAAACAACAACAAAGAAGCTTCCAAAAGAAGAGGAAAATTCGTGGGAAAATTCCTTTATCTTTAAAGTTTTATTTTATAGAGACCCCTTGATTGTGTTATATAGGATAAAGATCTGAGGAAGAACACCTGCATGGGGTCTTAATTGTGTGCCAAGTATTCACAGTCAAAAAATTCTGTTATATTCTAATAACATTTCTCTACAAATTCTGTTATTTTCTAATTCCTTTTTGAGACCTCCTTAGTTGGAACCCTTGGTGGAATGGTCACTCGTTGGGCTGTGATCTGCATGGTTCAAAACCACCAGCAACTCCGTGGAGAAAGACTTGTTAACAGTTCGTAGTGTCATAAACCCACAGGGAGTTGGCATGAGTCAACATTGACTCGATGACAGAGAGTTTGGTTTTATACAGAAAATACCACATTTTATTCATCCATTCATCCACTCATGAATATTTGGCTTATTTCTGCTTTTTGGCTATTATATGCAATGAACAGTTTAAATTTTTTAATGTGAACATCGTGTTTTTATATAGAGTATGAATTTTAGAAACTTGGAATTGCTGCTAACATTTAAAATTAGAGGTGTTTCCCAAAGCAATGTAGATTTCTAGTTTCTCTTAAAAGGAGGAAACGTGACAATGCAGGACCTTCCCACTCCCATGTCAACAGTTGGCTGTAGCTGGATAATGGTGGACACTGCTGGGTGGAGGATCACAAGCCTATTGCAATCGAGTCAAATCTCTACTCATAGTGGTCCTATTTGACAAAGTAGGACTGCCCCAGAGGGTTTCCAAACCTGTAAATCTTTATAGAATCACATCTTTCCTCTACAGAGTGGCTTCTGGTTTTGAACTGCCAACTTTCTGGTTCATAGCCAAACTCTTAACCATTGTACTAACTAGAGCTCCTCTGTTTACCCTAGACCACATCCCTTCTTATAATCCCTATAAAACTGGGTTTTAATCCCAGTTACTTAGCCTTATGCTTACATTTTTTTCTTGTAATACAGTTAAAATAAAAACATTTCTTATTATCTTTGTCTTTATCAAATATGGGAAGAGGTAGATAAAACATCTCTGTATATTTTAAGAAAAAATAAGAGGTGATCATTGTTGGCAGAAATGAAGGATATTTATTTCTACAGTTGAAATATTTGGCAACGTGGTGCTAACATGATATCTGATACAAATGCATAAATTCAACCTGGCAAAGTAATGCACTGTTAAGTATATTATGATTGTGTGATGAAACAATCTCTAGTAAAAATTAT